AATTCTGGGGTTCAGTGCAATTTCCCTTCTTTCTATTTGTCTCCAGGTCACTGGCAAATTCTTGCCCTCCAACCATGCCCTTGATTTGGTGGGGACAATAATGGATGGCATGCTTTCTGCCAGTCCCACGTGCGCCACAGCAGCAGGCCACTGGTTCTGTGCAATCCTGAGGGAGAATGGAGATGCCCTTCTGGATGAGGTAAAATTGAAGCTGAGGAGGCTTTCTGCATTTGCCTTATGCTTTTCAAGCACTGCTTTCATGTGGAGTGAACAGCAATCTTAGTGCTGATCCCTGGACATGAAGCAAGTTCCATTTCCCTTACTAGCCAGAGATGAGGAAGAGCAGATCAGCTGCATCCAAGAGAGAGAGCACAGGAAGGCAAGATGGGAATTCAGTGACCTAGGTTATCGATAAGAGTTTTCAGCCCCAGAGGGTTTGGAAACATAGACTGTGGGGGCAAATACAGCAGGAGAGGGCAACAAGGAGTCTGAGGCACCTGGCTGTGACTGGGCTGGAACACCATGCTTAGGCATGCGGAACAGATGCACACTTCCCTCAGTGCCACACCATGCAGAGGGTCCACAGCAAGGCAGGAGCTAGAGATGGTTCTGTATCCTCAGGCATTTCCCAGCCTTGGTAGAGGCTATGTGAAATGGTCTTTCCATGCTGCTCCTCTCCGCAGGGTTGGGAACAGGGTGCAGGAAAGAATGTATGCTAGAGATACTGCAGCCTCCACCCCCTCCCTGTTCTGGATGGGACTGGCTATGGGCAGCTGGACCTACTGTCCCGCTAGCCCGGCCATGTGCAGAACAGGGAGGTGCAGTTAGTAATGAGGAGTGTGAATTCCAGTGTGCAGTTCCAGCAGAGCTGGTCTCACCTGGAAAAGTTCCAGTTACAATCATCTTGCTTGCGGTGCCAGGGATTCTCACAGGGGTTCTGACGTTGGTGGTGCTTGTTGGACCTCAGCTGAGCATCCACACAGCAGAAGGTCAAAATTAGCTTCTTAAAACCACCCCCAGATGTTGATATTTGTTGGGGTGTTTGTGTGAGCATGTCAGGCAGAAATGGGTCCCGGGCAGACATGCAATTAGATTGTAGGTGTGTGCACATGGGTGAGGGGAAGGGCTGAGGGTGTGTGGGCTGGTTGGTGTCTGCCCACATGTCGTGGTGTCCGCTTTCACCCCAAGTAGGGGCATAGGGACATGCTCACTTCTTAGGATCAGCCAGAGGCAGCGGTGTCTGGACACTGGTCCCTTAAAGCAAGGAATTTCTAAGATGGCAGCAAATTACCAAACTGCGGGAGGGATTGGTTTGGATTGTGCTGGCTGAATGAGAAAGGGACCCTTGTTCTTGCTCTTTTCTCTCCAGGTGCCAGACATCCTGGGCACCATCTTTATTCGGATGCCAACAGTGCAGGAGAGGTCCATGCGAGGCTTCCTGTTGGAAGGCGTTGGCATTCTTGCCGTGTTATACCTAGAGGCAGTGATCACCAGCCTCCTTGCCAAGCCTCTGCCAATGGACAGGTACTTGCCACTCCCTACTTCTTGTGCCTGGTGGCACGCACACATCCCACAGCCTGGCAAAGCCCATGGAGTTTCAAGTCAGCTGCAGATCCTTTGGGCTGACTTGGTAAGAGTCAATATCCTAGTGTGTTTGGGTAGGAAATGGTAGGCTTGTGTCTAATGGCATTGGCATATGACATCACTGCGCCCCAACCCCGTCCTAGGCCAGGAGATCCCTTGGCATTTGCTTCAGTGTCCTATTGCTTCATGACATCACAGGAGCATCTGCAGCTCATATGTAATTTGTGTTAAATTGCAGTGACACCTCTGAGCTCTGGAGGGCCTTGGGGAGGGATGATTTCTCCACCCTCCATATACTCGGTTTGCTTCTGAAGAAGATCCAATATCCAGCTGGCACAGAGGGTAGCTCACCTGAGGGCACTGCAGCCCTGGGACCTCTCGCAGTAAGTGACAGCCCAAGCCCAGCTCTGTCGGTTCCCCCTTGAGGGCTAGCTTCCTGGTTCTCAAGAGCTTGAGGTAGGATGCCAGGTCGTGGGGCAGGGGTTTAGGTTGTAGCCGTGTTGGTCTAAGGACATAGGCAGACAAGGTTCCTTGGGTGAATTCGATATCTTTTATTAGACCAACCCAAACAGATGGAGAATAGTTATTAAGCAAGCTTTCGGGTTCAAAAACCCTTCGTCAGGTAAGGAAGTTTCAGCAGTTGGTGTGTGCTCTTCCTGGATGGAATGACAAGTAAAGAAGCCAGGGGCTGGGCTGGGCTGGGGAGTTAGTTGCCAGGCAGATTATAATGTATCAAAAATCCAATGTCTGTGTTTAGTCCATGATCTCTAGTATCCAGGAGGTTGATGAAATGGAGCTCATAGGCTCGTCTCTGGGAAGTGTTGTGTAAGTTTCCCTTTAGGATCAGGACTGAGAGATTGGAGAGAGAGTGGCCCTCCTGTGAGAAATGTGCCCCCACCGGTAATTGGGCAGTTGTTGTTTGGTGTCTCCTACCGACCAGCACACGCTGGGCTCCCGGTGCTTGGGACCTGGGCATGTGACGTCTGCATGCTCCCATGCTCTACATGTGGCCTTTGTCCTTGTAGGGAGAGAGAAATGGCTGCTCAGTTCTTTCCGTAGTGCATTCGGCTTGGGAGAGCCTCCGTGCGTCCTGTCTGGCTTCCAGCATTGATTTGTGCAAGGTCTTGCCCTCCCTGTCCCTGTCAGGATTGCAAGGCGTGAGAAATCAATCTGATCTGAGTAGCCTGCCTTGCGCAGCAAGTGTCTGAGGAACGGGCCCCCGAGTGACAGGGCGTTTTGGTTCTGCTCTGGCCGCAGCATCTCGTTACAGTCTGTAAATCTGTAAATCTTGATGAGAGAGAATGGCAGCATCAGTCGGATCTGAGCTGCCTGTCTTTCACAGCAGGTGTCTGAGTAACGGGCCCCCCAAGTGACAGGGCATTTTGGTTCTGCTCTGGCTGCAGCATCTTGTTGATGGCAGCATCAGTCGGATCTGAGCTGCCTGTCTTTCACAGCAGGTGTCTGAGTAACGGGCCCCCCAAGTGACAGGGCATTTTGGTTCTGCTCTGGCTGCAGCATCTTGTTGCGGTCTGTAAATCTGTAAATCTTCTGTCTCCCCAGGCTTTCTATGGAGGGCTTGCGCTACCGCAAAGGGCCTTGGGGAGAAAGTGGCTGCAGAGCTCTGCGAAGCAGGAACCTGGCCATTACTGGAGAGCCCTCAGACACACCACGAGGGGGTGTGCCAGCTGGCCAGGTAAAAGAGGGAAGCTGGATTGCATCTGTGCTCTAGGCAGTGGGATGAGTGGTGGAGGGGAACTTTCTGTGCTGAACATGCAGGGTTGCGTGGGGCTGGAGACCTGGAGCTTGTGCTCCAAGCGATGAGAGCTGCCGCCTCAGAGCAAATGAGTATTGGCAGTGCTCAGCCGGTCCCAGAGCTAGTGGTTTTCTCTTGCAGAACTCTGCTGCTGTTGGAAATAATAACACCCCAATTTATAGGGGAGGTCCTACAGTGGACCAGTTCCACAACAGAAAATCTGCGTGTAACTGGTACAGCCTTCATCAGCCAGGTAAGGCCCCATAGAGAATGAGCAGTTTGATGGAAAGGCAAGCTGTTCCCGGGGAGTCCCCTGGTCCCCTTCCTAGGAGGGAGGATCACTGGAGGCAGATGAGAGGTTTCTCTTCTGTCCTGGCCCCTGCATCGCCACTTCTGCCGTATGAGAAGGAGAGGCAGACAAGGCTTGCCTTACTGACCTGCCTCTACAGAGCCCTCGTCCTAGCCAGCAGCTCTGAGTTTGGTCCTAACTCCTGCATCTTCTATACCCACCCAGCATCCCAGGTAGACACTGCTCTAAAGAAAGCAATGTCCCCATCTACTTGCATCGGCATCATCTCTCCCGCTTAGACTAAGCCCCTGCTTTCATGAGTTGCCTGGCTCTAAGGAGACAAACATCCCTATGTCCAACAGGAGTGCGCCATGTGCTGAGGCTCTTCCTCGCGGTGGTCTGTGGGATTGTGCTCTGGCATGAGTTACTTTTCTGCTGGAGGGCTGGGCTGTTGGGAATGACTGTGCTGGATCTCACAGACACATTGATTTCTTTTAGCTTGTGTGTGACCCGGTCATTGAAGACCAGAAGCTCCTTAAGGCAGCCCTTTATATACTGCATCAGCAAGCCAGGGATTTTACTTCACCAGCGAGCCAGGGACACAAATAACCTTGTTCAACAAATGGCAGCCAGAGGACTAGGCAACATCGTGTACAGTGCCCCTGAGCAGGTGAGGTTGAAATTCCCCTGCACTCTCTAGAACGCAGCTCGGCTGTAGAGACCAAACAATGAGGCAGGGCTGAAGGGACTGGAAGTGTATGCAGTTTTGCTGTCTCACCCCCTCTGGTGTCTCTGGAGACATTTGGGTGTGACAAGTGTAATTTTGGTGCAGAAGCGGGTGCCTTGTGTCTCACAGGCATATGGGAATGGAGCCATGGGGTCATGGTCAGATGAAGTCCCGAGCGCTCTGTGAATGGGAAAGCCCAGAGGTGAGGAGCGTAAGCACTGATCGGTGTGTCATGTCTTGTGTTTTTACAGCTGAAAAACACCAGAAGGCCGTCCTGGAGACCCTGTTCCAGGCATCATTCGTGCCTTCCAGGGCTGAGATCATGGAGGAGGACATGTGGGCACTCACCTGCGTCTTCAAACATCTAGTGATGGATGCGGGGTCCCTGGTTGAGGATGCAGTTGTGCATGTCAGGTCCTTCTTTAACCATGTGAGTGAGCAGCATTCCCCACCCCCATTCCAGCGCTCTTCATTTGGGGCCGTTTCAGAGGTGGGAGAAGCACTTGCTGCCCCTTGTTCCAGCCCAAACTGGAAGATGTTCAGTTCTGTGGAAGAGATGAGTTTTCAGGAGGAAAAGCAAGTGAAGAGAACGGGATGACAGATGGGCCCTTGTAGACAAGGAGGGACGCTCAGGAGACCGGGCGAGGCTGCGGCTGGGGTCATGGGGCTCTGTAGGGCTCTGGGGCTCTTCTCTGCCGTGTTGATTCTCCTGAGTCGGAAGCAGAGCTGGGCAGAGACAAGCGACCACAGGGGCTGGGGGATCTGGTTTTGCTGGGATTTAGGATCGGAGCCCCTAGTGCCCGCACGTTCAGGGAACGAGGCTCGCTGCTGCTCCCCGAGTTCTGCTGAGTGCCCTGTCTCCCAGGCAGCCCACCAGGAGCAGGACCTGCCAGAGCCCATGTCCTGGCACATCACCTGGCAGGCTGGAAGCCAAAGGCTCCTGTCAGGAGCTGTGCCAGGCCCATGAGAGAGAGGCTTGGTTGTGAGCACACTTGGGTTTCTCGGTCACAGGACAACAATGGTCTTCGCGCCATGGCTTTCTCCCTCTTCGGTGCCCTGGCAGGCTGCATGAGGAAAAGGCAAGCCTTTTATAAAAGCCAGGTGAGGCAGAGCCGGGGAACACTCCTGCTTCATCTGGAGGACCCCAATCCGCAGGTGGCCATGGTAAGAACTGGTGACAGTGATTTCCTCAGCCCCGCCAGGTCTCCTCAGTCCAGCCCCAGGGGCACTCTGCCCTTCCTGCGTCCAGTGGTGACCATCCCCTGCTGAGGTGGCTTCATGCAGGCATCTCCTTGAGCTCGGGGCTGCCTCCCAGGTCCAGGGCAGGTTGCACACCTGACCCCCTGTGCATGCAGGAAATCTCCCTGCATGGCTTTACTGCGGGGGAGACGGGTGTTGCCTGCAGGTGCCATGTGAAAGACAGGAGAAGTCCTCCCTTTGCTCACAGCCACTCCTTTATGCCTAGTGCCAGTCACCTCCTGGCCAGGCCATCCTGTTCCTGGCCTGGGCGCAGTCCTGGGTCAAGAGGCAATCCTTGGCCTCAGCTCAGCAGTCAGCAGGGAGTACAGACCTGATGTGACCGTGTTTTTCAGGAGTGCAGAACAACGCTGGGCCTGTGCTGCCCTTACCTGGGCTTAAGGAGGGTCCAGGCCGCCCTGGCCTTCCATATCCAGGGGTCAGAGCAGGGGAAGCAGGAACAGCTGCTGCGGGAAGTCTGCAGGCATTTGGTGAGTGAGTTTGTGTGTGGCAGGAGGTGACAGGTCAGGGCTCATAGGATGCGGGGAGGGAACCGGGGCACAGTGGAAATAACTGCAGGGGTTGGGTCTAGGACCAGGAGGCATGGGACAAGCCAAGATTGCTCCTTTTAGTCCCTTGGTGCTCCCATTTCCTCCTGACCAGTACCAGCGTGTGGTGTGAGAGCACTTCTCACCAGAGGGAGCTCACGTGTCCTTGGTTCTCTCCAGGCCAGAGAAAAACCTGCTTTTTTGGAGGGTCTCTGCCAGGCAGCCCAGGGACACTACTCAAGCCCATGGCCAGAAATTCAGATGGTGGCCATCACATTTACAGGTGAGAGAGGATGCCTGGTCCCTTTTCATTCTCCCTTTCACCCCCAAGAGGAATGGTAAAGCTGTTGGTGAGCAGGATCAGGCTGTTAATCAGCCTGTGCCTCAGGTTCCCCTGAAAGGATTTGGAAAGGATGATGCTCCCAGTGTTGCAAGGCTGGTGTTGAGAGGGATTCAACCGGACAGTAAGGCTGGGGGTTGTGGCAGACAAGACCTGTGCTGTGATTCAGTAGTTCTGAGCGATGGAGACGTGTCTGGGACATGGTCACCCAGCACAGCTCACAATTGCTTAGCACCACTTGATGGCGAAGGCAGATGGGAAGGGGCACAGGCGTCTTGGGCCACTGAGTGCAGGGACCTGGTCTTGGGAGCAGTCCTGTCAGAGAGATTCCTGCACGACCTTATTGAGCCCATCTTGAAGCTTGTTGGGCTTCTCTTCCTCCTGGGAAGGAGGCTGTATCCGCCTGCATGTCCAACCCAGCTTGTCAGGGAAGGCTGGGTCCTTGCTCGGCCTGGCCCTGCGCTCAGGGTGCAGAGAGGCTCCTGGTGCCCTTTACACCCCTAGTCCAGCCCAGGGAACAAGGCAGGTTTCTGTGGATTACCAGAGATGTTGGGAGGAGCTCGTGTGTAGACTGCCCTTTTCTTCCTGGCTCCCAGCCCTTTACTCAGATAATGAGACCCAACAGTGAACGTGTTGGGCACAACCCACCTGTGATGGCAAACACAGCACAGGGGAGCCAAAGACCGGCCTCTGGGCTGAGTTTTCCTTGTGTCCTGACCACGGGATGCTGATCTGTTCTCCCTGTTGTGTGTTTAAGCATCCTTATGGAATATGCTGCCCCAAGAAGTGCCGGACAGATAAAGGTTGCACACCTGCTGAGCTGTAAGTAAGAAATCCAGCCCCTGCACTTCTCTCCTGGAGCCCAGAAGGAGCTGAGAAGCTGCAGGAACCGACCCCTCCCTGTGCTTTGGAGCCCAGTGCATCTGCTCTGCCCTGAGGATAACCTAAGAGAGCCTTGCTCCGAGCAGGCAGCTCCCATTCCCCTGGAGCAGCAGGGTGCAGCACGGAGGAGCTGAATCTGTGCATCTCCTGACTGTCCTGCCCAGGCCCCATCCTCAGTTGGCTTCCTAGGGTCCCTCAGGTTGGGGAAAGTTGTAGCCAGTGCCCCTGGATGCCACTGCCAATCCTCCCCTGGGCAGCCTGTCTGTCAAGTCCCTTCATCAGGTGCAGACCAACATGAACCAGGCCTGTTCCACACCAGGTCTGAGTGCCCAGTCATGTCCCCTTGGCAATGGCAACTCTTGAGAAGCTTTCTGGTGGGAAAGGCAGGAGAATCTTGTCAGTGGAAGCTGTTGAGAATCTCAGCCTTCCTCCATGAGCAGGAAAAAGCAGTATCGGCATTTCCCCTCAGCTGGGAATGCAGGAAGCTCCCAATGGAGCAGCCACAGCCATGTCTGTGTGGGAGAGTTTCTGTAGCTTGGGACCCAGAGAGACCACAAGTCTGGGGCTGTTCAAGATGCTGGTGATGAGATGGTAGGAGCAACACTGCATCCATTGTGCACTGCCCACCCGCACATCATGCCAGAGCCCCATTCCCCAGGGTTGGGCTTGCTCTGGCGCTGCCAGCATGTGTGACCAGCGTTCCCCGGAGGTGGAAGTGTCTATTCACTAATGTCTCCCTCTCTCCTTCCAGCTCTGCAAACTCTGGGACAGGACACCTCCCAGGAGGTCCAAGATGTGGCCACTCGGGTTGCAGAAGCCATTTTTAAAAGGCCTTGGGGCAGCACGTTGGAAGAGGAGGAAAACCATGGGCATAACCACAAGGAGGGGCTCTGTCAGGCAGACAGGCTAGGAACAGATGTTCGGGGAGGTTAGGGGGAGGATAGATAAGATCAAAAATGGCCACCTGATCTAACTGAACTTCTGTACAGTTCCCAGCACAGCCCTGGGGTTTGCAAAACCCAGCCACTGGCCTCAGCCCTGGGGCTGCTCGTTTCTTAGCCCCCACCCCCCTGACACCAGGTTAGTTTTAGCCCTCTAACCCTTGTCCCCTATGCCACTGCTCGTGGACCATCCAGCCACCCTAGACTACCAAACCGTAGACAGCGGCAGTGGGGCAGAGAGCCCAGCCTGCAGTAGCATCCTGCCTCTGCCCTGCAGACAAATCTGGGGTGCATGTGCCCCCCGGGCCTCTCCCAAGGTTTGCACAGTGGCGGGAGCCCCCCTGCACCCCTGGATGAGCCTCCTGGGCTCTGAGCATCCCAGAGATCTAGTCATCACTGGTGAGGCTTCACCTACAGTCCTACATCCAGTTTTGGGTGCTGCATTTCAAGAAAGATGTGGATAAATTAGAAAGAGTTCAGCAAAGAGCAACTAAAATGATTAGAAGTCTGACACATATAACTTACTAGGGAAGGCTGAAAGAACTAGGATTGTTTAGTCTGGAGAAGAGAAGACTGAGGTGGGATTTGATAATGGTCTTTTAATACCTGAAGGATGGTTATAAAGATGATGGATTTAGAGTATTCTCAGTAGCTGCAGGAGAAAAGACTAGGAGCAATCATCCCGCAGCATCCTTATAGGCTCGGCAGTGCTATGTTGGCTAACACTATGCAAGAAAGAGACTTGGGGGTCATTTAGTGAGGCCGCAGCTGGAGTACTGTGTCCAGTTTTGGGCTCCACAATTCAAAAAGGATGTGGAGAAGCTTGAGAGAGTCCAGAGAAGAGCCACGCGCATGATCAGAGGTCAGGGAAGCAGACCCTACGATGACAGGCTGAGAGCCCTGGGGCTCTTTAGCCTGGAAAAGCGCAGGCTCAAGGGTGATCTGATGGTCACCTATAAGTTTATCAGGGGTGACCACCAGTATCTGGGGGAACGTTTGTTCACCAGAGCGCCCCAAGGGATGACGACTAGGTCGAATGGTCATAAACTACTACAAGACCATTTCAGGCTGGACATAAGGAAGAATTTCTTTATTGTCCGAGCCCCCAAGGTCTGGAACAGCCTGCCACCGGAGGTGGTTCAAGCGCCTACATTGAACACCTTCAAGAGCAAACTGGATGCTCATGTTGCTGGGATCCTATGAACCCGGCTGACTTCCTGCCCTTTGGGCAGGGGGCTGGACTCAATGATCTTCCGAGGTCCCTTCCAGCTCTAATGTCTATGAAATCCCCTTAAAATTCACGTGCAGTGACAGGGGAGCTCCCACACACACGCAATGTCTCTGAACTTTCCCAGGGTTAGTGTCTTTCAGGTTAGATAGAGACTACGCAGCAATGACAACTCTGGTGATTTCGTTGCAAGTCTTGTGATATTTGGTGATTTTTCTTAAAGCCCTAGTTCCCAATAGCCTATGATTAGGTGAATATCTAAGCTTTCATTTGAAAGCACAGGGCCAAATGGAGGTGGCATAGTGCCTGATCCAGCCTGCGCTCCTCATTAGGCCACAACACCAAAAAGCTAAGCACGACTGATGAGGAAGGCAGGGCAGGGAAGCACCTTGGAGACTAACCATTAATAGAAGCCAAGACACACAGTTGTAGTTCAGTTTCCAACCAGGAGGGGGAAGGGCTCAGCATGCACATTGACTAGAACAGCAGCAGAGCTTGCAAGCTGGAAGCGTGGGTGACTTCTGCTTTAAAGAAACACCCCAAGATGCTTCTTGAATAACAAGAAGCATTGTTTGCAGTGGTTATACAATTCTACACGTGCGCGCACACAGGTTTTACCTTCTAAAATATAAGAGAGCAGAGTCACCAGACCAGAAAAACAAGGCTCAAAAGTGGGAAAGGCCGGCAAGGGTTTGCAGGATGTTCCTTATCAGGGAGCAGGCTGCTGGCTCTAGTTCAGAAACCTGAGGATCTACTAGCCCACCAGCTCCTGCACCTTTGCACACTGAGGTGTGTGTACACAGGAGGCGAAAGGCATTTGGGAGCTTGATTGCTTCCTTTCACCCACATACGTGCATGCGTGCACACACACATACTTGCACCGCCCCCCCGAGATGCGTATGTGTGTGCGCGCGCGCGCACACACACACACACACACACACTGAGGTGCACAAATGCACGCTTGGCATGGCGAGCTGAAATGCGAATGCAGGCAGGCTGATAGCTCTGCAGCCTGGTATGGGGCAACCAGCGCAGACCAGAGTTGAAGCAGCAAGAAGTTTGCGTCCTTCAGAAGTGCTTCACCTGGGCTGGGGAACCAGTGCCCGAGCTCGCGTTCCAGCTTGCAGAGTTACTCATGACGAAGGCTCTGATCTTTTGGACCATATGTTCCCAGTTGCATAAGTTCTGGCTTTTGCTTCCTTTCAACCAGCAGCTTTGCTGACCTTTATTGTTCTGCTGTAGCAGGATTAGCCGAGCAAGGCTGGGTCCCACAGAACAGGTGGCAGGCACTTGACTTGCTTGGAATGAGACCCAGATAGTTAGCTCCTCTCCAGACTGGTTTTTGAGCTCTCTGCAGACAGGGTTATTTGCTAGCTGGTTATTTCCATGGGGTCCCTGGAGTGCCCTGTGCTGTACAGATTCATAAAGAGATGCCTTGATCCCTGCCTCTGCCTTCTGGAGCTCCCATGGGCTTGATCCCAAGCCTGTCAAAGTCAATGAAAGACCACGACTGGCTTCATTAGGCTTTAGATCTGAGCCCAGGAAAGCAGGGAACTGCAGGAAAAGGGGCAAGAGAAAACACTTGGGGCGGGAGGGGCTTTCAGACTGGGGAACATTTGGGACTGCACTGTGCTCACATGGGCTCCTCCAATACCCACGTTACCACGGCTTTGTGATACAGCAGTGCCCTAGCCAGGATCGCTGTGCTAGACCCTGCATGGATCGCTGTGCTAGACCCTGCTGACATGCTTGGTATGGGGCGGAATGGCAGTTCCAGTCAGGGCAGAATTTGCTTGGTCCACTTCCAGGGATATGACAGCAATGTGCTCAACTGAAATAACCTGGCGATCAGGACTGAGAGCTGAATCCAGACCTTGTGCCTGGATTCCCTTCACACATGCAGTGGTCTTGACAATGGCAGGACCCTACTGACACAGAGGTAGCTGGGGGTTAGGCATGAGATAGGAGGCAGGAACTGTTGTGTGTTAGTCCTGGCTCTGCCACAAACTCTGTGATGTTAAGCCAGTCAAAAACCTCCTCTGTGCCTCAGTTTCCTTGTCTGTAGAATGGGTTTACTGCTAATTGGCCACCATACAGGGGTTTATGTAGGCCAAATGGTTCAAAATCACTCGCCAATTCTGAAGGCCTGACAATTTAAAGGCCTATTTTTTTCACACATGCAGAAAGTCCCCAGTGTAGCTGAACTTGAGTGGGGAGGGGGTTGGGGAAAAGCTCTGGGTGATCAACCTGTCTGAAAACTATGGGCACATTGAATGTCCAGAACCGAGACACCTGGGATTACTGGCTGGTTTTGAAAATGTTGTCTTGCTAAGACTGGCTTTCAGCTCTATTCCAACTCTAAAAACATCCTGCCCCCCGCCCATATTTAGGAATGGTCCAGCGTATATTTTGGCTACTTCTGTATAGATGGAAGGGAAAAGAAATTAAAATGGTATTGGGAATACAAAAGAAAAAACAGCGATCTGCTCTAGATTTAAAGAAAACCCTCTCCATCCCAAATGCTCTCATTTCTTTTAGGAGGTGCCTATAACAGACCAATTTTAAAAAAATACAAGACTTGTTTTAAAAAACAAGTAGGGATTTTGGGGAGCCCAGCTTGAGAGGTTTTAAAGAAGCTGATTTTCACCATGTGCTCAGTAAGTGCCCTCTGAAAATTAGGCCTCTCTAAAATGGCTCAAGTTTGGGGACCCAAAATCAATTACTTTTCAAAATACAAGCCACTGCATCTAGAGGACCAGTGGAGGCATCCTGTGTAAGTAATGCATCTCTGAGGAAGACAGACAGACACCAGGGCCAAGATCGGCAACACTGACTGCAGTCCAGAATCTCAGGCAAACAAATAAGCCGAGGGAAAACTTTGCATTGTGTGTTTGCATGAGGGTAACCACAAGACAGGAGCCAAAAGGCATGGAAACATTTGTCTCTGAGCACTGTTCAAAGCCTAGAAGCTCATGCCTACATTGTTCTCGGTTGATGCGGGGAGGCAGGGCCGAGTTTTCTGAGCACATTCACAAGGAAGAACTGACTTCCGTGGCTGCGAAGCCGAGGCTGGAGAAATCTCTGAGCCTGGGGAAGTCACCAGAATACACATGGGCAGGGAATTATCTGTCTTCATGCAGACACTCCCAGGCCAGAGTCCATTTTCAGGCTGTTCAGTGATTCCTCTGAGTGACACTCTCTATATAATCACCCTGTATTCAGCATTATAGACATGCTTCTCTCAGCAACAGAAGTTGATTGGCCTCAGCCCCTGGCCCAATGCTAATCCAGAGCCAAACCCCTGATTCTCAGCTCATCTCCAGTTAGCTGCCTGTAAGTAAGAAAATCTCTAGTCCTTGCTCATGAACCCACTGATACATACTGCCTCCATGCCCAGGACAGCCTTTGACACCTGTGTGGAAGCTGGAAACCCCTGGGTTGTGGCATGGAGCCTGCATTTTAGTAATAGCTCCTTTGTTCCCCCAAGCTGTCTGACTGCAGAGAGATCGCCACTTCTGCTTCTCAAAAATGCAGAGTTTTTTTCTACAAACTTCGAGAACATCCTGAAGGGGGGAACTGAAGATGAGATACCACCAGGCACAGTGTACAATGTCCACTATAAACAGTATGTAGGGTTTGTGTCGTCTTTGGTGACTTGTTTGAATAGGTTGTGAGACCAATGCTTCCTGAGAAAAAAGAGCCAACCTAGAAAAGCAGGCTTGGCTGCTAATTGCTGTTGCTTTACTGCCACCAACATGGCTGTTTGGAACAGGACCCAAGCAAAAGAACAGGGTCTTGGAGTTCATCTCAGCTGGAAGGTGACCTTACGTTAAGAAGAGTCACTAAGCTGCTCTGGAGACCAAAGTATCGCCCCACTGACATGGGGTTTCAGTCCCAGTCCCTGTTCTGCCACTCACCTGTGCCCCTTCTCTCTGTATCTCAGTTACCTTATTAGTAAAATGCAAATAATACTAGTGACCTTCCTTTAATGAGTGATTTGAGGCACAGAGATGAGGAATGGACTGTAACAAGTAAAACATTATTTCAGGATGGGAGATAGTTGGAAAACCTGGGCAAAGGCATGATTTCAGCAATATCCAGAACTTTGGCTTTATGAAACTCTAGTCCTTTTTCAGCCAATCCTAATGGGCACATATTGTCTGCCCAGAAGGGTTTAACGATGCACTCAGGACGGATGTTTGAGAGTCAGATTTGAAACAGGGCAAATAGTTCTACACCAGCTGCACACACAGGGACTTTGCATTATTGTCAGAGTTTTCCTGCATGCCTGCTTTCTGCTCCCAGAGGAGAGCTCATGTTTCTGCCCCCCTGGAACTGGATATGCCATGCCTTCTCCAGCCCAGCAAGGGAGACTCCCTTGGCCTAACAGAGCTAGCAAAGAACTCCAGGGGAAGTGGTTCTTTGACAAGAAGACTCTTTCAAGGGGCATCTGTTGCTTCCCATAAGCCTGAGAGTCCCAAAGATTCACAGGACCCGAGTATGGAGTCTTTCCTTTGCTTGAAATGCATTTTCTCAAGTTAGCTGCATGGGGGCTTTCCTTGGTGCTGCTGAACATTTTGAGCTGCAGAATCAGGCCCAAGATGGATCCTGCCATTGGCTGAGAGACTCTGTTCATTGCTTTATGTCCTGGTTATACGGATTTGATCAGAAGCCCAGTACGAATCTTCTCCAGTGGCTTCTGTGCATTTGCACAAATGGCAACAGCAAATTTCAACATGACAATTTGGGACAAAATTAGAAACAGGGCACAGGAGTCCTGACTTCTTAGGAAATCTTAGGATCTTAGCCTGGTGGGATTATGGAGAGACCCCAGGAGGGTGTTGGTTCCTGCTATATAGCCGTCTTTTCCTGTAAGCGCTCCAAAACAATCTCCCGCCTGCCCATGTTCTGGGATGAGAACCACACAGTGCTCCTTTGCTAATGTCATTGCCTCATATGCAGAAAAAACAGCAACCCCTGGGCTCTGAGAGCTACAGCTGCTTTACCTGGGTTACATTTTAGGTCTGCCATCCCAAAAGCAGAGGCAGACAGAGCTATGAGGGACCTAAAAGCTAGGGACAGACATTCAAAAAGCCTGTATCTGAATTGATTCAATCTTTGCAGGTTAACCTAACCTGACTAGGCTGAATCAGTATGTAACTACAGACATCCCCTCCAGACTGAGAAAGTGCAGGCCCATGCCTGTAGTGGCTCAGGCTAGAAGCCAGAGAGTGCTTGAGCAGCCCTCCCTTCACTTCCACAGGTCTGAGCTGAGGGGGTGTGTGGCCAGGCCAAGGCAGGATGCTCTGATTAGGGAGGGCTCCCCCCCACACACACCTCACTTTGGACCAGCCCAGCAGGAAATTGATAACGTAGTGTTTATCACTCCTAACTCGGTGTTTATCAGCCCATTAAGAAAACAACAGAGGAACATTACCAGCCACCTGTTTGGTTCTGCCTTTGTCCCGTCTGCCGCAACATGGACTGTAGCTAGCATGTGGTCTGCTAGCTAATGCTGAGGGGTGTCTGTGTAAGGCAGAGGGGATGGGAGATCCCTGCTTAGTAGGGAGTAGTGGGGGGAGGGGGGAAGCAGGGGGAAGCTGCAGACAGGGAGAAGTGGAGAGGGGCCAGCCTTGCTGTGGAGCAGAGAGCCCTGCCCAGCCCAGAGAGCGTGCCAGGATGCTGGGGGAGTCTGGTTTAACTTAAACCAGCCAAGGGTCTGGGACAGACACTGTATAAACCGGGTTAACCCAAATCAGTTGTCTGATACTACATTCAACCAGGTTTATCTCAAACTGGTTTCAGCCATTTTCAAACTGGTTTATGTTCACTGAACATCTGTTCTGTTCCAGGTTTAAACCAGTTTCTGATCACTTGCACTGGTTTATGTGTAATGTGTGTCCCTAGCCTTAATGCAGACTGGGGCCAGTCCATGGGCTCTGTTGAGAAGCTTCTCAACCTGGCAATCTACAGGAGACGCTCCTTGCTCTGGGATCAGCTTTTGCTGACACTTCCGCTAGGGGGATGCAAAGTAGTTTGTAGAGTGGGACTGCCAGCTGGGATCAGGACTGCCCAGCTCCCATCAGCTCACCCACCTTTTGCATGGATTACCAGAACCTAGCAAACCTGCTGCTTATGCTTGTGAGCATATATTTGGGTCCCAGATGCATCGTGGGCAGGTTGCAAACATCTAGGGAGACGTGTACACTGCTTACAGTCCTTGTATGGCAAAGGGAACAATGAGGGTTTTCTGTTTTCTTTTGTTTCAGAAACACAGTTCAAAAAAAGAAATTTATTTGCAGATCAGTCTGAAACATTTTTTTCTGGCTTGTCTCACTGAAGTGAAAACCAAGAAAATATTGTTTTGGTGCAGATAAAAGAATCTCTTTTTCAGGCATTTTTAGCTTTCTTTTTAAAAATTAAATTTAGCTAAAATGAATCTGGAAATATTGTAAATGAAATACCAAATTGTTTCATTTAAAAAATGTGGAAGCAACCTGTTTCTAAAAAGCACTTCACTTGCTGCAAACATTTATTTTCCTTTTTTTTTTGACTCTTGGCCCAAGTCGGCACCAATAGCAAAGAGTTTCAGTGTAATGCAACTGCAGTTTTTGGTAAATGAAGTATTCACTTCGAAAAACACTGCCTAGTTCAATAACTTTGCCTCAACGAAGTATGTGAGCTACCTGTATTTACTGTTGCCTTTGTGTTATTGGCGATTTGTAAAAGCAAAAGGCTCCACTGTAGGTAGAAGATATAAGCAAAGTTACTGGCTCTCATCAGAATCTGAAAAAAAGGACTTTTAAAAGACCCAGGAATTCTGTCCCAAATGTGCATACTGATTCATTCATAGATGGTTAAAAACCACTTTCAGTCTGGAATCTATGTCATCTGGGTCCTGGATTGGCTACTGACTTTGGGACTTTGGGAGTCATTTTTTTCCTGTGCCTCAGTTTCTCCATCTGTATAACAGCAGAGCTGGAAATGACACTTCACAGGCAGAGTATGCTCATGCTTATAAAACTCAGTTCTTAAATATTTAGGAACTATATATGGTGGATTGAAAGTATATGGCGGATTGAAAGCATGCACTGTGTCTTCTCTAAGGTACGTGGAGAAAAAATGGCTTACCAAAACCGAGTGCCAGAACATCTCTCAGCCCTTTTGTAACCTCACACGTGAGACAGAAGACTTCACTGAGTACTACTACGGCAGAGTGTGGGCCGTGGCGCTGAATGGCTACTCCTCGGACTGGGTCTGCTCCCAGAGATTTAAACCCGAACAGCATAGTAAGTGGCTCTGTGGATCCATTGACGCTTACAGGCTCTGTCCTGCTGCCATTTGCACTGACATCCGTGTTGCAAGCCCAGACACAGCTACAGGAACAAGGTTGTCAGCTTTTCAACCCTGAAGGGGACTCTGCTGCTGGAGATGGGGGGAAGGAGGGCACTGGGAGTATGAGAAGGTGCTGGGGCCTGCTCTGAAATTTCTGGCCAGAGTGATGCTGGAGAAAGGACATTTGTGGCCTGCTCTGAAGGAATAGAGCAGTGGTTCCCAAACTAGAGATCACATGCCCAAATGAGTCCTGAAATGCTATTGGAAAAATCAGGCTATACCACGTGGCATGGTTGTAAACCTAGGATTGGGGTCACATACCCGGAAAGTTTGGGAACAGTTGGGACAGGGCAACTATGAGGGACAACAAAGAAGACCTTGATGGGGAGCCAGCAGCAACCAGTGATCTGCCCCTGGAGGCTGTGAGATTACAGAGCTCTTGGTGGTTAGGATTAGCAGCCAGACTTATGCTACACACTTCACGTGCCAAACCCCAGAGTGCATCTCTGTCACCGATGTGCAGTTTAACCTTGGGCAAGTGCCACAGTGTCTCCATGCCTCAGCTCTCCTTTTCATAAAATTGGGAGAATAATGACTGGTTCATGGAGGCGTTTGAACACAATGGTTGTGAAGAAGACTGAGAGCCTTACACAAACATATTATAAAAGAGCCACACACTTCACGTGCCAAACCCCAGAGTGCATCTCTGTCACCGATGTGCAGTTTAACCTTGGGCAAGTGCCACAGTGTCTCCATGCCTCAGCTCTCCTTTTCATAAAATTGGGAGAATAATGACTGGTTCATGGAGGCGTTTGAACACAATGGTTGTGAAGAAGACTGAGAGCCTTACACAAACATATTATAAAAGAGCCCATGATAGCCTTAATTATTAAAATATTCCTTTCGCTGAAGCACAACACAGATGAATTTACACTGTATCTCAAGGTCATTCACTTGACTTTTTAAGGCTTGTGGTATCAAAGAGCTAATGGAGGCTGCTTTCAAATTATATGGTCATGGGCTGAATTCAACCTGACTGTAACTGCTGGGTGTAACAGCTGCACTTCATTAACCAGAAACATAAAATGCAGTCAAGCTCCTTTGTGGGACAGAGCCACAGGCAAGGCTGGTTTAGGAGTTAGCTACACAGGCCAAAGTGTGAAAGCCACACAGGCATCTCAAGTCCATCTGGGATATCTAGATGGTGCAACATGTTAGCCAAAAATAGTGATACTCACCAAATAGATGTGTCAGTAACTCATCACCTTCAGTCTCATTAAATTATTTTTCCTGCTTTATTATTTCCAGGTAATATTGGGGCACCAGAAATGAAGTATATTCCTAATGTTCGATCCATAAAGTTTCTCATTCAGCCTCCCTACACATTACTGAAAGATGAAGATGACCACCAGCTAATTGCTGAGGACATCTATAGTCTTGTAAATTCAAACAAGCACTGAACCTCGCTAACCTCATCACCAGAAACCAGCTTCCTACAGCCCAAAATACACTGAATGGATCCAGGTCATGCCATGATGAAGAGAAGTTGAATACCTGCATTTACTCTAGCTAGTGACGTGTAACTTAGAATATGGTTCTTCAACCTATGTATGAGTGTAGACTCAATGTATTGGTAATGTGAGACTGGTCATATGTCCCTAGCTGCGGAGACTTGTGAGTAGCAACCAGAAAGCCATATGAAGAACCTCTATGGTTAGGGAGCAGAAGGGTACCTTGTCAGAAGAAAGGCAGTCAGACACCCAAAAAGATGTTTGACTTCATTGCTTGAGCCAGGGTTTAGCAACCCATCAAACATCCTCTAGTTGAAGGAAGCAGCCATATACCTCTCCTTTTTCCCCAGGCAGGAGTCAGCAACAGGGGCTGACAACTCAATTGCAGCCCTCTATCCAGTCAAGGTCAACAAGCAGCCAGAAATGCCTGGACAGTAGGCTGGGATGCATTAGTGGCAGCCAGGAGCATAGCAATTCTTAAAATCTTAGGTCTTATTCTAAATTGCAGACTTGTTAATCCTAAATTGTGGCAATCAGGCTGTGTACTCTTCTTGTGGGGTTCCACAGGGCTCGATCCTTGGGCCCGCACTGTTCAACATCTTCATCAGCAGCTTGGACAAGGGGGTAAAAAGCACCCTGTTCAAATTCACAGATGACACTAAGATGTGGGGGGATGTGGGCACGCTAGAAGGGAGGAATAGGCTGCAATCAGACCTAGACAGGTTACAGAGGTGGGCGGATGAGAACAGGATGGGTTTCAACACTGACAAGGGTACTGCACCTGGGGAGCAAGAACCAGCAGCATAGCTACAGGCTGGGGAACTCCCTTCTTGTCAGCACAGAGGCAGAAAAGGATCTTGGAGTCACTATTGATTCCAAGATGAACATGGGCCGCCAACGTGGGGACGCAGTCAGGAAGGCTAACCGCATCTTGTCATGCATCCACAGATGCATCTCAAGCAGGTCCAAGGAGGTGATCCTCCCCCTCTATGCGACATTGGTAAGGCTGCAGTTGGAGTACTGTGTCCAGTTCTGGGCACTGCACTTCAGGAGGGATGTGGACAACATGGAGAGGGTCCAGAGGAGAGCCACTCGCATGATCAGGAGTCAGCAGGGCAGGGCCTACGAGGAGAGGCCTAAAGGACCTGAACCTGTTCAGTCAGCACAAGAGAAGGCTGAGGGGGGATCTAGTGGCCATTTACAAACTAGTCAGGGGAGACCAGCAGGCATTGGGGGAGATCCTGCTCCCCCGAGCACTACCAGGAGTGACAAGAAATAAGGGTCACAAGTTGGCAGAGGGTAGATTCAGGCTAGACATCAGGAGGTGCAACTTCACTGTCAGGGCGGCTAGGATCTGGAACCAACTTCCAAGAGAAGTGGTGCTGCCTCCTACCCTGGGGGTCTTTAAGAGGAGGCTGGATGAACACCTCACTGGGGTCGTTTGACCCCAGTACTCTTTCCTGTCATGGCAGGGGGTGGACTTGATGATCTGCTCAGGTCCCTTCCAACCCTACCAACTATGAAACTATGACAAGACACGCAAAACCTGCCAACAATATCTTCAGTGTGGCGATATCTTCACAATACAATCCATATCTTGTGCCCTGGTGGAAAACACGCGGAGACACCAAGCAACAACTGCGCACCAGAATCAGCACACACCAAAAATCTGTCAAAGACAATAACAGAACACCACCTGTCTCTAGTCGCTCAGGCCTGATCTTCAAAGGGAATTTACAAACCACTTTTCACAGATTTCATAGATTTCATAGACATCAGGGCTGGAAGGGACCTCGGAAGATCATCGAGTCCAGCCCCCCGCCCAAAGGGCAGGAAGTCAGCTGGGGTCATAGGATCCCAGCAAGATAAGCATCCAGTTTCATCTTGAAGGTGTTCAATGAAGGCGCTTGAACCACCTCCGGTGGCAGGCTGTTCCAGACCTTGGGGGCTCGGACAGCAAAGAAATTCTTCCTTATGACTAGCCTGAAACAATCTTGAAGTAGTTTGTGACCATTCGACCTCGTCATCCCTTGGGGCACTCTGGTGAACAAACGTTCCCCCAGATGCTGGTGGTCACCCCTGATAAACTTGTAGGTGGCCATCAGATCACCCCTGAGCCTGCGCTTTTCCAGGCTAAAGAGCCCCAGGGCTCTCAGCCTGTCATCGTAGGGTCTGCTTCCCTGACCTCTGATCATGCGCGTGGCTCTTCTCTGGACTCTCTCAAGCTTCTCCACATCCTTTTTGAATTGTGGAGCCCAAAACTGGACACAGTACTCCAGCTGCGGCCTCACTAAGGCCGAGTACAGGGGGAGAATGACGTCCCGGGATTTGCTTGAGAAGCATCTATGGATACAAGCCAGCGTTTTGGTCGCTTTACTAGCTGCCGCATCGCATTGCAAGCTCGTGTTCATCTTGTGGTCAATGATGACCCCCAAGTCTCTTTCTTCCATAGTGCTAGCCAACATAGCACTGCTGAGCCTATAAGGATGCTGCAGGTTTTTTTTCCCAAGGTGGAAAACCTTGCATTTATCGGCGTTGAACACCATCAGATTCTCGTCCGCCCACTTGCTGAGCCTGTCCAGGTCAGCCTGGATAACCTGCCTGTCTTCTGGTCGCTTCTGACTCCAGTGTCCACATCATTAATGAAGATGTTGAACAGTATGGGTCCAAGGACAGAGCCTTGGGGGACCCCACTGGTCACAGGACACCACGATGAGTGACTTCCATCGATTACTACCCTCTGGGTCCGACCCTGGAGCCAATTTTCAAGCCAATGGATCGTGGAGGACCCAAGGCGACAATTGGCCAGTTTCTCCAAGAGGCGATCATGGGGCACCAGATCGAAGGCTGACGCCAGATGAGCCTATGAACTGCACTTATCAACCTCCTAGGTACTGAGACTCATGGACCCAATATAGACATTGGAATTGTGACACACTACAACCTGCCGGCCATCTAACTCCCCAGATACTTCTCCACTTTTACCTGCACTGCTACATTGTCCTTCCTCCCCCACCCCAGCCTGTCCCTCACCCCATGACTCCTCTATTTCCATTTTCACCAACTGGCTTTCTTGCCTGCATTGCATGCCAGCCTCTGGCTTCTTTACTACTCCTTCAATCCAGGAACAGTACACTCACCAACTGCAGGTGCTTCCTCAGCTTGATAGAGGGCTTTTCAATCCTAAAGCTGAATTCCCAGGCAGCTAAGCTGAGCTCACCTGGAGCCTCACAGTTCCACTGCAACCAGCAAGCCTCAGACCTGTCAAAGACATGCCAGGTCTGGGCTTTCCCCAGCCAGGACTGTGTGTGTGCATGTGGTGGCTGGAGGTTATGGCACCTCTTACCCACCTTTCACCAGGGGGATCCTCAGTCCTGGCATTTCCTGGGGCTGCTGCACCGCCAACAGTCCCACCAGGCCTCCTGACCCTGGCAGAATGAAGTTTTAGTGATCATGCCTAGGACCTGGGACCTCCTCCTTCCCCATAGTCCCAGCCCATACCTCCAAGTTGATCCTGGCATGGAAGCTCAGCAGGGATATGTTCTTCCCCTGCTCACTGGTGATGCAGTGAGTGCCCACTCCAACTCTGAGAGCGGGCCATTAAATGGTTTTTGAAAAATCAAAAAAGGAAATAGGTGTAGACGCAGTGAGGAGGGTGGCATTCACTCCGTCTGCACCTGGAGCTTGGGGAGTTTCAGCAGTGGGAGGTTCACCTTCAGGGACACCATCTGCTCCACAAAACCAGGATCCAAGCAAGTGCAGTTGGGTGTCACTACATCCCTATGCTGAACACCCTCTCGCTCGGAATACTGGTCAGTAGACAGGACGGGTGTTCCTGAGCAACCGTGGCCAGATCTGGCCACATCTGGCTGCAGCTTGCCCAGTAGGCCAAGGGGTTGCACAGCAGTGGTTCCACATCCTCGGTGAGATAGGCAGCCACCAAGGTCTGAGTGCTACCTGCCTGAGAGTGGGGTCTGGTGCCTCTGAACCCTACCATAGAAGCCATGACCATGGCCCACATTGGCAGTGCCTGTGGTAGAGGAGACTGGCTGGTGGATGGTGTGCTAGCCTGGGACAGTAGATCTCCCTCTTCCACACCCCTCTGCCTCCGCCATTCTGTCTCCCTGGCTCTCCTCACCAGCACCT